AGCAAACTGTTTGGGGTCAACGCTGGTTTTTCTTTGTTCCAACCACGCCTCTTGGTGGAGCCTCACCGCCTCGGACGCTTCGTTTCTGAGGAGTCAAAGGAGTCGGAATCGATCACTCGCGTGACACACACTCATGGATATGCGTACTGACTTGATAGCGGTGCCACACGCCAGCCTAAGAGACCCAAATCCTGAAAAACCAGGTGAAGGGGACCAGAGTTCCTGTAGTTAAAGGCCACGAGACGACGAACAGGACGAGGTGACGGCGGTTCCGCTCGCATCTGCAGTGCAAAGAAAAACAACAAGACATCTGAGTATCGAGGTTCTTGGCTTGGCCTCTTGCCATACGGAAAGTGGAAAATTGCAGGTACGTTCCCGAGGCGTCCCTCAGGAATATCACAACACAATGGAAGGGTCTTCGTTGGGCAATGCCTTCCAAAGTGTTCATTGCCCCCCTGCTGTAAAATGAGCAACTGCAAAAGCATCCCTATGACTCCAAGGGTGACACACACACATACACATAGTGGAAATGTAACTTAAGCATATGTGGAAATGCCATAAATGTTTGGTATATAGCTATGTATGACAAACACAATGGACATGTAACTTTGTTTTACATTTCGTTGGAGTTTCTGTGGTCAGAATCACCGCGGACAGTTGCGGGCAGCGATGAGGCTGTGAGGCTGTAGAAAAGAATAACAGAGTGGAAGTTGTCAGCATCAATCTTCCTGGGAGACACCTTTTTTTCTTTCTTTCATCAATGATTCTCAGATCTCACTGGCAAGGCTGCGCTTCCGGATTTCATACCTTTTAATCTGCCCATTCAAATACCCAGAAATGACGGAAACACATGCCAGACATGACTTGGCAATCTGGTACTCTCCCCCACCGTGCAGGGACAACAGGGACAACAGGGACACTAGCACGAGAGCAAGAACACTGTAACGACAAGAGCAGTTTGCGATGAAGACAATGACTGAAATGTGGGTGAGCAGGTGTTTTTTGGTCGACTTGGTCGATGCCAATAATCATGCAGTCGAACCACATAGCTTTAATAAGAACATAGATTGAACATAAAGTATATATAAGTGCAGACATTCTACTGGTGGAGGACATTCGACACTTTTTAGGAAGTGAGGATTTTCAACGGATTCGTTCCTGAACCAAACTCATGCTGTGCTAGAGGATCAGCAACTGCGCTTCGACCACCTGGAGTCCCTCAACTCCGGGAGACGCTTGCAAGTGACCGTCACTGACTTCAACACACAGGATGGGTCAAGATGTTGAGATAAGAGTTGTGTTGCGTCTTTCATTTTTAGTTCGGATTTTGCCGTTCGCTGTCCTGGTCATACTGTAGCTTCGCATGCTTCCCCATCAGATCGCGGCAGTGAAGAGTTCCATCAACAACCTGGGTGGTGCCCTTGATTCAGCTTGGCTGTGCCTCTGTGGAGCGTTGGTCATGTTCATGCATGCTGGCTTCGCGATGTTGGAGACTGGCTGCTGCCGGGCGAAGAAGGCTTCCAATGTCTTGATGAAGAACTTGGTCAATGTTTGCTGTGGGACCTTGGGCTGGTGGAGTTTGGGGTGGGCATTTGCATATGGCGGCGCAGCTGAAAATGGCTTCATTGGCACCACAGGGTTCTTCGGTACTGGCTTCTACACTCAAGATTCAACAACCGGAATCATTACGCCTGTCACTTGTGATGAATCCAGCGATGGATGCCAGAGTACCATGTTGAGTTGGTTCTTTCAATGGGTGCCTTGTCGTACCCAAGAATGTGTTTTGTTTCTTCTTCATTCATACTGTTTTTGGTTGGAAAGCTGTGCACATACACACACACACAGAGGCCTTTTGCACTGCTGGTGCTACAATCGTGAGTGGTGCAGTTGCGGAGCGGGTGAAAAGCCCTACCTATGCAGCCTACGCCCTCATTATGACGAGCTTCATCTATCCCGTGGTTGTGGCATGGACATGGGGTGGAGGTTGGCTGGCCACAGTCTTCGATGTCTCATACATGGACTTTGCAGGCGGGCTGGTGTTCGGAATTCCAAATCAAGCGTCTTTTTAGGCTCGAGCTTCACTTGATCACTTGCCCTTTTGAACTGGACTTGTTTGTGGGCGATGATAGGAGATTCGACTCTATAAAATGCCTTTTGGACCCTCATTGTATAGAGACCTCGTCGCTGGTCCGCAGGCAGTGGCATTGTCCACCTCACTGGTGGAGTCAGTGGCCTTGCTGGTACTGTTGTGCTGGGACCAAGGAAGGGCCGCTTTGTGAACCCAGAGGAGTTTGAGCCTCACAACCTTCCCTTGGTGGTGCTGGGAACCTTCGCGCTTTGGTTCGGCTGGTATGGCTTCAACCCAGGATCCACCCTCACGATGAAGACCGGGAACGATGGTGCTTTGGCAGCACAGGTGGCGATGAACACGACTCTGGCTGCTGCCACAGGTGGAATCACCGTGTTTGTCCTTCGCTATTTCATCACGAAGAAGTACGATGTCGGTGGCTTGTGCAATGGTATCCTTGCAGGCTTGGTCTCCATCACAGCAGGCTGTGGAAGCATGGAATGTGGTTCAGCCTTCGCTACTGGATTGATTGGAGGATTTGTCTACCAGGGAGCATCCATGCTTCTCCAAAAGCTGAAGGTTGATGACCCTGTGGATGCCAGCCCAGTTCACGGCTTCTGTGGCATCTGGGGATGCATGGCAGTGGCCCTCTTCGATTGGGGCAAGGGTTTTGATCACTACCACGGCTGGAGTGGATGGAGCTGCACTCCGGGTTCCGATGGGGTTTCTTGCAAGACCGGTGCCAATGGTACGGGCCTTGGAGCCAACGTCGTGATGGTTCCTTGCGGCAGAACAATTGCACCTTTTTCTGCTTTCTTGGGTCGACTGAACATAGACATAGGTGGCAGTTCGTTTTGTAACATCAATATTTGCAATTTGCAAATCATTTTTGCAGGTGCTCATGATCATCGTGTGGGCTGGTCTCCTGTCCGGCATTTCCTTCTTCGTCCTCAAGAGGACGCGCATGTTAAGGATCAGCGAGGAGGTGGAAGAGACTGGCATGGACTCTCACCACCACTCCCCGCCCAAGGCCTATTCCCTGAGTGCAGCGCCAGCCACCGCAGGAGCAGTCTGAGAGTCCTGATGGAAGTTTTCGAGTACGTCAGCCGGCTGGTAGGGTCTCCATTTTTTTGCTTCCTGGAATACCCAGCCGGTCGTGTGAATGGCACTGGAGTGGAGCTCCATGTTGGATGTCAATCCATGTTGGATGACATAGGCATTGATGCTGAGCAGTTTCCATGTTGATGTCTGCTAGATCGGCTGGTTGGATAAGGGTAGGACAACCATCTATTTTTTAACTACCCTACCCGTGGCCTAGCTTAGCTGCTCAGACAATGCCCAGTCTTGGTCTGACCCCCCCTGACCGACAATGAAACGTCAGGGACCGTTGGACATGATTGCATCGTACTGACGTTGCCCTGACAAACTGCATGGTTCGACGAAGGATCGAAGAAAGCCTGCGATCAGTCTGGTGCGGGTCGTGACCCACCTTGTTTGCCCGACCAGTCCACCATGTAGCGAACGACCTTCCACGGAAGTCAACCAAGGTGCTTGGGTGTTGACCCACAACCATTGGTCATCTGGAATGCATAGAGAGAGAGAGAGAGAAACGCGACGAACCAAGCGACCCATGCGACGTCGGAGGCCCGGCAACGCGTGCTGAACGGCTCGATGCTGCACTCAGTGAACGGCACGGGGGGGGGGAAACATCTACCGTTCGTGTCGGCGAGTGTTTGGGGGTCGTCCTTGCGCATTGGCAAGTGGGGTTGAGATGTGTCTCCTAGTAGTGACGTCTCCTGCGCGCGAAAGCGAACGCTTTGGTTGGAGAAGCTACGTCGGCCGAGCCATTGGACGGAGAATCCGGGCGCTACGAGTCCGAAGGACAGGCCGAGTCATCGGTGGTCGAGCCATGCCACGTGAGCGAGACCAAGCAAAGAGACGTCTTTGGTGGACCCTTTTTGGGTTCATGAGCGTGTATGAGCGTGCTTTCTCGTGTGTGTATGTGTAGATACACACATACGTCATGCGAAAGGTGGACAGGACTACACCCGCTGACAATCCAGAGTATGCAGGTTCACCTCACTTCCTTCCAATAAGGAACTTGTGGTGGACTTGAGGACTTGCAGAGAGGGAGTGTTTACTGTCGTTACTTGGAGTCAGCGGAGTGAATTAGCTTGATCCACCCTAAACCCTAACCGCCAGACCAAGTGTCAACTTATTCCTTGACCAAGAACTGCATGAGTTCGAACTTTGGACACGGGTTCGGAGCCCGGACAGCGCGGGGTCCTGTCAAACCGGAAATTGGACACGACATGCGTGGAGTCGCGCCCGTTCGGATGCCCGGGCAGCCGGAGTTTTGCTGACAGACTTCAACCACCGCTTTATGGAGCGCTTTTTGGGCTTCCACAACGAGGCCGTTTCGGCTGCTGCGGAAGGGTGGCGATGCGGACGAGATGTGTTCGGCTGCGGACGGGTGGTGATGCGTTTTGAGGAGCTGCGCATAGTTTTTGCACGATCGGATTTCATTTAGCCCGTGCGCGCATGTATGTTAATGCCTTCCTTCTGTTATCTTAGCAGAAAGCACACGTGTGGATCTTGTTTTTTTCGGGATAACTGTGAGATGCAACAGTTTGTTGGTTGGGGAAGACGCACAAGCTGCTCCATCTAGATGATCTTGATGTTCGTGTATTTGATTGACTTGATGGCCAAATCAAATAACTACGATTCGAACCGTGCATCCCGAACCAACAAGTCAACTTTTTACTTCCTTCACATGCGAAGGTCATGGGTCTTATAAGTCCGTGACATCTACTTTCAAGTCGACCTTGCATGGATGGTTCAGTCCATTACTTGCGAAGCCGGTGCGTGGCTGGCACGTGTCGCCCTTGGAAGAGAAGAACCGTCTCGTTGCCTGGCGGAAGAACGCTCGCCGAAGCAGCCATTTCGGCGTCCGATTTCTGGGTGGGCTGGGCATGGCTGGGCTGCGCAAGATGAGGAGCGGAGCAAAATCCACAGCGGACCGATCGGGGGTCGAAGACTGCGTTCGAAGCAGGTGGAAGAACTGTTTCATCAGAAGAGTTGCCTACCCCTGTGCTGTCTCTGATTTTGCTCCACTTGAGGTGGACAATCTCGTTGATCCAAGTTTCTCACCCGAAACGACCTGTGCGTCCTCGAGATTTTGGTCCAGTCGCACCGCCGATTAAACAGCTCCATGGAGGTACAGCCGAGGCTGCACCGCAGGTACCGAGGCGAAGCCCGGAGGTGACATGAGGTGACACAGCGACACACCGATTTCGCGGAGCCCCCAAGCTTCCCTGCCGCTTGGATCGTTTCGCGGAGCCTTTTTCGAATCAGTCTCGATCGCACAGGTCGCAGCTTCATCTGATTCGGAGTCTCCTCAGGTGGTTTTCAAAGATGGAGTCGGATTTCTGTTTTGTTGACCACGGCTTGCGAAAGCTTCGCATGTAATTTTTATCGAAGCAAACACCAGAGCAGCACGATGATTTTGGGTGTCTTCCCGGCTCCCCCGATCCAGCTCGAGCTGGTGTGGCAGCGATAAGCTCTGTTTTGGCAGACAAAAAAACATCAAAATCCACAGTGTTAAGTTTCTGTGTCTGGTGTTCAACCTGGTGTAGCAAATTCCAGAGAGTGACACGTGTCTGTTTCCCAAACTTCCCCTGTAGAGGTGCAGTCTGATGCGCAGAAGCCGCCAGGATTCTATGGCCGCTCGTGTTTTTGCTGGGTCCAGTGGAGGCAGATCCAGTGGAGGCTCGAGCAAAAAAACGAAAAGAGAAAAACAAAGAAAGCAGAATTTGAAGCTGGGTGTTTCGAACTTTTTGCTCAAACCAATCATTTTGTGGTGTTGTTTTTCCCCAAACAGGTTTACCTGTGAGGGGTTCTTACTCCTTTTAAAGGGGTGCATGCTCGGGCCGGATGATTTTGAGTTTGTCTCCGGGCTTGTGTTCCTGGCCGCATGATTTCACCCTTGTCTTTCACTTGTCTCCCACTTGTCTCCCAGTAAGCTCTGGATGCTCTCAGTG